ATCAGCAGCTCCTCCCAAAGAGCTTTTTCTTCGCAGGGGAATGGCCAGAGGTAAACTCAATTTTCCTCGTCTCCCGCGAGCTAAAGCTGACCCAAACACTTCACAGTCATAACTCTCGGGAATTATGCGTATATAGACGGCGGGGAGATGTCACAGATCGGGGCTGATGGCACTCCTATCAAGAACAGGGCATCAAATGCCGGTAGGTCTTTATCATTCAGCAGAGAGTGGCCCACTACTCACTCGAAGGCATCTCAGTAAATTCCACACTGTCGATCGATATCTCTACCTCCTGGTCATCCTCGAATGTTACGATACGAATTATTGATAAACCCACCACTGGGATGGACGGGCAAGCGATGTGGAAAAGTGAGGGTATGGATGCGTTCTACATTTGGGGCGGACATCTGCCGTACGGAGGAAAGATCGATGGACCAAAATCATGGAAATTTGAGGCGGATGGCAAAGGTGGCGGCAAGTGGGTAACGGAGTCACCAGCGAACCCATCATTCTTCGGCGAGCTGAAGAGGTGCGAGGAGGGTGCATACGTGAGTACAAGCGACGCAGCATTCTGGTTTGGAGGTATCGCATCCGGCTGGACGAATTCGAATCCTGCATCGCAACCAGTGCCTGGGGTTATATCATACAACATGACGACCAAAGTTTGGAGCAATGACACGACGCCAGATTTTGCGGCATTCTCAGATCATGGAACTATTGTTGGTGGCGGGGCGGTCTACATCCCAACATTTGGGAGTAATGGTCTTATTGTTGTCTTGGGAGGGGTGACGTTCACCCTTGAGCCGAGTCAGAAGACGCCGAATGGGTGGATGGACTTCAGCAACCTGACCTTTTACGATCCTATCACGAAAGACTGGTACTGGCAGAAGACAACGGGCACGCCCCCAACCGCACGAAGGGGATTCTGCTATGTTGGCGCCGAGGGGCAGAACGGAACATATGAGATGTATGCCAGTCTCTCCTTCCTCAGCAGTCGATACTAACTTTCAGCAGCTTCGTCTTCGGAGGCACCAACACTGATAGCGGCTCAACTTTCGATGACGTCTTCGTTCTTAGTCTTCCGGGTTTCGTATGGACTCAAGTACCGTACGAGTCCAAGAACACAAGGCGATTCCATACGTGCACCGTGGTTGGCCGTCGTCAGATGCTGTCCGTTGGAGGCACTGACGGGAAGACAGCCTGGTCCGGAGCAGACCCCTGGCCTAACGGCCTCGGATTGTTCGACATGACCGACTGGGCATGGAAGACAGATTATGACGCGGAAGCCAAAGACTACGAGACCGCAAATACAATCAGGGACTGGTATGAGAAAGGGTAAACTTGATTCTTCCCCTGATACTTTCAACCCATTCTCACCTCCAACAGGGGTCTCACCTCCGTCGCATGGTCTTCTGAGACAGTACAGAAATTATTCATCAGCACTGCGACCTCTAACAGCTCCTCTACTGGAGATGGAGATAACAAAGCCAGCGACAGTAGTCTCGATGAAGGAAGTCAGAAAACCCTTTCTACCGCTGTGATTGCTGGCGCCGTTGTAGGAGCGATTCTGGGCTGTGCCTTAGTCGCAGCAGCCTTTTGGTTCCTAAGAAAGCGCAAGCGGGACCAAGTGGCAGCCGCTGCAGAGTTCAAAGATGAGCCCGGCAATAGAACATATTACCAAGCTGTGCCCCCGGGAGAGTTGCATTCCGAACCGACAAGGACAGAGCTTTATGGAGGATCTACTCCGAAGCATGAGCTCTGGACGGAGTTTCCGAAGCCAGAGACTGCTGAGATACAGGCTCAGCATGTTACAGTCACAGAGCTGGATGCCCGACCGGATCATAGCGACCATCTCATGAGGAGATGATTCTGAGAGAAGCTGTTTAGAGATGATACCTAATTAGACACTCTAGACTCTTGATTCGTTCGACTATCTTCGGCTACGCCTCTTACCTGGCCATGGATCCTCGTTGGAGTTAATTCTGACCTCCTGGCAAGCTGTCGGTAGAGCAACTGTGACCAGTATGGAAAGATTTACGACCAATGACAAAGACCATCTTGGAGTATGCTACCGCCCGATCTCCTCGCGCGACTTAAGGCCTCGCCAGATGCATCTCAGATCAGAAGAAAACCAAACGCCCCCAGTGCGACTGCTACCAAGGACATGGCTCCAACAGCCAAACGCTGAGCTTTGTTCTTTTCCTCATCTTCGGTGGGACAATCAATGATCGGACTTGAAAGTCGGCACGCCGCAGCTGTTACTGACGCGGATATCCTCGCCGCAGTGGCCGAATCGAGCTTGATCTCGCAAGGGTTCGCGGTAGGAGTAGGGGATGCCACTACCGCGCAGGTATCACCGACACCCCACCACTTCCTCCCGAGCAGGCCCTTGACGGTATCGGTGATATTGCTGGCGACGCCTTGTGCGCCGAGGCAGACGTTCTCTTTATTTGTCGCAGATACAAGATCGACTTCCTGGGCGGCGTTCTTGATGGTGAACGTAATGAGTCGTATCGTATTGTTTGAGATTACATGCTTAGTGTGGTAATTTGCCAGGCTGGACTCATCCGCGAGGCAGCTTTGCTGCCTGACGGTCCACACTATCGTGTAAGTACCTTCTTTTTTAAATCTTCCGAAGCCACGACTCTCAAAGTAAGGGTCGCTGCTGGAGAAATTCGCCTGTCGAAGGTCGTAGTCGTGAGTGACATATGTTTCGAACCGATCACTTGAATTGCGGACTCTTATTTCGATATAAGGGTTGACGAACTGCGCGAGGCTTGAGTTCCGGATGGCAAAGACAATAGGGAACAAGGCTGTCGGAGCGTAGGTGTCGTTGCGCGGAAATACCAGGTCAACCTCGACAATTCCCGAATTCGCAGCGACAGCTACAGCTGCGTGGAAGCCTGCGAGGAACCATTTGACCGAAGGGAGTAAATGCATTGGAACAGAACCGATGGTTTGGGACGACAATGTCCATCGGTGGCGTGTTCAGTCAAGGGCAGTATCGGAAGAAAAGGACAGCACATGGGGTAATTATGACGAAGAGAAAAGATATGAAGGGTGCCAAATTGGGGCGCAGTGACGAAAGGCAACAAGGAAGACCTATATATGTGCCGATTGCCCGCCTTGGCGTCTATCCGCAGTCTTGTTGGTTCCTTCGCGAGCTTTCAATTTCCCTCGCAGTGTTGCAGTTCGCTTCCAAATTCGATTTCAGCTATTCCTTCCACAATTAATAGATGCGACCTGTAGAGCGTTCGGAACTGCGGTCAACAGAGCCCTTCCAAGCCCTAATAATGGGTTGTGTTCATTCTATTGACGATGACCTTACCAAGTTACTTTAAATTCTAAATGTACAGTAACACATCCAACGCCACACGTGACCATGAGAATTTGACGTCACAAAAGAACTTGATCGGGAGAGGCCGGGTTTCGCCCTATTCTATGATATCCATATATCAGAAGCCTTGTAAAGGCCTGGAGCAACTGTACCACAAATCTCACCTCGCTTGCCTGTTCAAATCATCGATTAAGTAAGATTCATTGCTTGAAGACTCAAGCCTGGAAAATAGAGCAATGCTAGTGTTCAAGCATAAAGTATTATCGCTAACGCAACTTCCTCAGCGCAGATGCAACTCTTGCATCCAATAAGCTTAAAGCTTCCACGCGTTTTACTGCACAATAATTGTAGGCAGCATTGGAAAGGCTGACAACTAAGAAATATGAATAATATTGAATCATTCATTATATATGTAGTTAGGCCCGAATTCTCGATGATCAGCCACAAACATATCATGACCAGTTGTGCTCGTGCTGATAACTTGCGGACCAAGCGGTCCTCCACTATCTGACTGGCATGGAACTGCGTTGACAGTGACATTTAGTGCATAAAAAAGTCACTTGCTTTCTGTAGGGGCTTTGCCAATCTTGTAGCGATAACGATAGCTTAGGTCAAATACTCGGCATGGAGTTGCATAGAAATGGGCAGGGTCACTCGTTGGCATGCCGCCACTGCAGCAAGCGACCAACCGGCTCAACACGAGCCCGATCTTACAACCGGACATCAGGCCTGGCTTGTCAATCAATTCAAATGTAACGTACTCGAGGCTGTGCGCATGGGCGTGGATGTGGTTCTGGTCACGCTGCATGGACTAAAAAAGCCACATCCGGTGGTTGTCGCTCTTCGTGTCCTGGCTACACCACCAGAGGAACATGCGCAGCCACAACCGCCGTAGTCACGATCGTGGCGGGCGGATATCGTCCATAGTTGGATAGTTGGTTTTGGCTCAAGAAATTTTTTTTGTATCCCATCTCTGTCATTTGCGACGATTTCAGTCTCGAGGAAACGAAACATTGCAAAGACAGGCCAAGTTTCGATCGTGCTGCTGGAAGGAAAAAAGCAATGTTAGACCCTTGCCATCGTGACCTTCACCGGGAACCAGGGACCCCGCACCATCCTTTTCAGCTCCGTCAGCACTGTGCAGGCATTTGTCCTTCCATAACAGGGGCAGGAGACGTCTAAGGATCGCAAACTGTATATTTCATATTATGATTGGTCAGTGTTTTGGCCCGTTCTGGGCGCCCGTCTGGATCGCGGGTGGTTCCAGATCGTCCCCAGCAAGCTACCCGACGTCCGGGTAGGGGGCTTGGAGGTTCTTGATTGCAACCTAAAAGGCAACCACGACTACAAGCAGCCATCTTGACTCACTTCCACCAGTCATCGTCGTTACCAGAAAGCCACCCACGATTCCTGGCCAGTAATCATCTTGCAATCAAGCCAAAGCTAATGCGCCATTAGAGGAATGCAGATGTAGCGAGCACCTGTGTCTGTCCCACCATGTCGCCGTTCATATGAATCTCAGCAAGCCCCCGTTATCTTAGCAGAGTTTTGTGCACTCGTCGCGCCATTTAGTTCATGTTACTAGCTGGTGCTCGAGGCTCATTGAAACCTATCCATGGCTGGCCTCGGAGTTTGACAGAACCACGCTCGTTCGCTATTCACAATGACGAAGAGCGATTACTCTTCCGAGCTTGAAGAGATCTCGTTCACATTCGACCCTGATCGTAGGATTCCCCTGGATCTTCACTTCCCATCCCATCAGCCGGTCCCATCCAACCCCGAGTTTCTCAACGCAGCAGGAGAGACTGCTTACGCGTCGCCGTCAAGACCAGTGACAGATAGGAGCCTGAGGGAAAATTGCCGTCCTATCGGGCTTGCTCTCACGGCATGGATCACAAGCCTCATATTCACCGTCGTGTACTCGCTATTCATCTACCACGTTCTCTTCGAGGGCAATCCCGTTATCGGCTCATGGACCTTCGATGCTTCTCTCACCAACCTACTCTTGTCACTACTCTCCCAACTATACGCCATGCTGTTGGCATATGTTGTTCTTAGTCTCTCCGATGCATTGCGGTGGTCACTTGCCTCTAGATGAGGACGCGTGGGTGGGGCGTCGGCGTCTAGCTTCTTTCAACTCAGTCCAGCAACTGATTGGTTTTCTACCATGAAGTTCATCTTTAAGGGAAGGTTTCGGAGCAATTGGGGTGTCATAAGGTGAGATATGTGCCCCTTGGAGCAGTTCAGAGCGCTAACCTTGGAAGACTTGCGTTGCCTTTCATGGGTTTGGGGCTTGGTTCAATTCTTAAATGTATCTCCAGCCCTTTATGCGAGCTTTGCCATCTTTTAAGTGTGAACTGATCGATAATAGTTCAAAACAGCTTTGAAGACTATTTCATCAAGCAAGGCGTATCGATCGACGTATATGCTGGCAATATTCCTCCTGATGTGTCAATCTTGGGTCTCATCTCGACAGCTTATCTCGACGGCTTCTTCGATACATGGACACAGCAACTGCTGAATTACCCACGATATGCAACAACTTGGAAGATGAAAGGCTGCACTGAAGACTGTTCGGTCTCTTTTCTGCCAGGTGGCATGGAAATCGCTCGCAAAGTGGGACCCCTCCTTAACAGCACCATCCTCAAAGGTGGTCTGTTCAACAATACAGAGTCGATCATGATTCAGGGTGCTCCTGGGATGGTGGCCAGGTTCGAGCCTGTAGCTGACGGGTTCAAATTTGATATTGAGGAGGACTGCAACGTCTACCAGACGCCGTTGGGAGATGCATTGCAGATGTGTAAGAAGCAATTTGGAGATTCAGTTGCAGCTGGCAAGAATATAAATTCGGTCACAAATATTCAAAAAAGAGAAAGTTAACAATCGACTAGGCTGGCGGGCTTGTCCGAGCTTCTTCCAGTTCACAAGGGCCTGCGCAGCGCAACTATCATGGACTCGAACGCCGCTAGTGTCAAAAACGCTCTTTACTGCTTATCGGCAGAACGCAACGACAACCTACAGCCAGAAGGATCTGTCAATTCAGCACGCAGAGCCCATTTCTGACCCTGTCCGAGTCAAGATGTCAGTGCCTGACATGGACCTCATCTGGAACAGAATCTTCGTACCGAGACCCCTTTCGAGTCAGCTTGACCTTGAGTCAATCAACATTACAATTGCAAGAATGGCATGGAAGTATCGTACCTATACTGAGTTCTTCCCGGACAACGAGATGCACGTCGAGCTGCTTCAGAACTTTCTCTCGGTTCCATTGCAGTTTGCCATAACAGCTATGCAGTACGCAAACTAAACGCTTGCACTCCCCGCAGAGAAACGAACCTTTCCACCCGAGCTTCTCACAACCGCCACGGGCGGGCGCTCGATCAAGAGGTTCGTCAGTCAGCCTTGGACAGCACTGGTATTCATAGCTGCCGGCAGCTCTGTAGTGATGTTGACAGGCTTCGGGTTTTGGTGGGTCTTGAAGCAGCCTAATCCATTGCCGAAATCGTCCGGAATCGTGGAGCTAGATTTCATTAGCCGATTGAGTGATTTGCAGAAGCATGATCACACAGATCAGGACAGTCCCGAAAGATTTTCGGAATTGGTCTATGACATTAGATCTAAAAAGCAGCATTCGGCCTGGCAAATAATCAAGGCGCTTAGAAAGAGGAGGTTAGAACTGACACAGATGGAGGTAGCCGCGGATGAAGAGAGGCAGATGAAGAGGCTACCAGTTTTGCATTTGCTCCCAAACAGAGTCGGTTACGTGGTGGCTGAGAATTCGTTGATTTCAAGTACAGACCAAGAGAAGAGTGTAAGCTCGAACCATCCAGATGGGGTCTAAGGTTTCAACATTTCAAATCCAAAGTATTTCCAGAAAACATTTGGCACTGCAACCTCCCCTATGTGCAGCACACCGAATCAGATGGCTGACATCTCGTTTATCCTGAGTATTTTGAATCAGTACAGCCCTGTTGCAGCTCCAGGTTGCACCTCATTCTGGCCTTGTTGTTGGTTGGAGATGTTCGCATCAGAAGCATATGGCTAGTCGTAATAGGAAGCGGCGTCGCGTGATCATGTAAGGTACTAGAAGTTTGAACCCTCAGGGCCAGGAAGCTCTAAGCTAACACACCGTCTTATAAGAGATGGAAGCAGAAAGAAGTAGGCTCACATGCAGGTAGTAATCAAAATGTTGTGATATCGTTCTGAACTTTCTACCAAAGTTTCCGTTCTATCTATTCGCAATCAGCCGATTCGCTTTCCAAGCTCTTTATCACTATGAACTCCATCTTGTTAGCCTTTTTGTGATCCTTGGCGTGATGCTTTCCTCGCTTCTTGACACGTTTCTCCCTCTTCTTAGCGGTCTTCTCCCTCTTTTTTCTTTCAGACTCTTCCGCCTTCTCCATCCTTTCCTCAATCTTGCGTAGCTTTTCGTCTCTCTTCTTCTGGATTTCCTTAGCCTCCTTGCGGCTTGCTCCTTCCAGCTTCTCGTCAGCTTTCGAGCACACAATTTCAGCCTTTCTATTCAGGTGTTCCATGTCGCTGTCGGAACTGTAACTGGAGCTAGAACTGGAACTTGAGCTACTTGAGTCGGAGTCGATAAAGTCTGACGTGCTGTTACGTTCCGATTGTCTTCGTTCCTGGCGGGACCGCTTCCTCCTCATCTTCCTTGCTCGTTTTCCTTTCTTCTCCTTCTTTTTAACTCGTCGTTGAATTTGCTTCTCTATGAGTCGATCTATGATGTTTCGATCTTTTGTGGGAGGTGGCACGTCAAACGTAAGTGGCGCGATGTAGGGCTGTAGAGCCGACATTCGGCGAGCTTTAATATCCATCTCCCAGTTCACATCTCGAGGTCTGTGATTTGTAAGATCTCTCTTTTGTCAAGGACCATAGACAAACATGAGTAAACTCACTGTAAATCTGGCAGAGTCTCACCACATCCAATTCTCGCGGACAAGTCCTTAGACTTACATACCGAAGCTTTCAGACCTCTTGGCGCAAAATACTCCTTGTTTACCTTTTCAAGGAATACTTTCGATCGAATAATTCGTGTTGCTGCCGATCCCACGCCCACAGTCAGGTTGGTGATGCCTCCTGCTAATTGAGCCCAGTGATTGGGTCTGAGGATGTCGGTGACCGAAGGACAGTATGAAACGGTCGGGGTACGCACACATAGCCAACTATCGTTCCTGCGGCATTTAGTGCGGCCAGTGGCACTGGAGGGCCTTGTGCAAATGTCAAATTGTCGATGAAGCCCACAAAGTCTTCTTCGTGGGTGTCATGAGCGCGGAGATCGGGAGAGTATGCTCGCATGAATGGCAAGGGTACTTTGAGAGGTCCCCCAAAATCAATGCGTGGAATCACGACCGGTTTCTACATACATTGTTAGCAGGACGACTTAATCAGATCGAAGCAAGAGCAGCTTATATTCACCTTCAGGGGGTTTGATAGATTTCCACCCGTGGCATGCAGCTCGGGTATCCAGTCAGTGCCCGGCTCGATATTGAGAGCCGCATTCAGTTCCTCCTGTTCCGAAGGATCCAAAGGCTCGGAGTCAGAGGAAGCGGAATTCATTGACAGGCGTCGGATATGGGCCGGGTCAATTTCGGAATATGCTGTGGGTGCCAGAGATGCTTGGGCACCTGAAGGGCCATGGTTGTATGAGTATGTCTTAGTCGTGCTCATGTTTTCCTCGTTGCTGTAGATTTTTTTTCAGTGATAATTGATTCCCACTAACAGTGGTCGCAGGAAATCAAGACGCCTTTAAATATTGGGCAGGGTATGAAGACCAAAGTCCCTTATTGACTACCTCCATTGCATGAGGCGGCCCCAGAAACAAATTTCCTTATTTGGCTGAATCCTCGAGCAGGTTACAACGCCGTCAGCCACACGCCCGTTGGAAAGCTTGATTGCCATGCGGCTTGATCGATAGCAGTCATCATTGGCCAAGATACTCTGGTCGGCATAATGGCAGTGCTGATTGTGGAGTTTATGATGCAGATCACTCGAGTGGCTTGGGCCATTTCTGGACGCTAGGTGATCGCTGAATAAATCCTACTTATTCCCAGCTGACTCCAATGACATTACCGCATTAGGCTCATATTTTGAGGCCGTATTCCGTTGTCCTCAGAACTACGCGCCCACTAAACTTAGTGCGGGCGGCTTCCGAGGGCTCTAGATGCAACCTACGGCTGAAGGGCATGTGCAGCAGCAGCTTTGAGGTTCCATGAGGAATTTAGAAACGATTATATTTGAAGTGTGCTTGATGCAATGGAGTAAAAAATAATTAGCTCCCTCCTCCGGTTTTCTCCTGCTTCTGCTAGAGCTCTGCGCAAGTGATCGTCTCTATCCCTTCCAGGTTTCTGGTTTAGGCAGCAGAGAATGCTAACTGAGATGGTGCCAGCTTGTCGACGGATCCGGTATCAGGGAGAACCCAATGGCATGGAGCTGTTTCCAGCCACTCTCGTCACAGACCCAGTCTTAGTTTGGCGCGTCGCGACAATGTCGACGACGATGCATCTCTGCTTCTATCGAACATACCGCACTCTGATGTTGATTCGTAAACTCGAAGCCATTGTCTAACTACCGAGCTGCCATCATATCAGGCCCAAAATGGTTGGGGTTGGCGGAAGATCAAAGGCCTGCGACAACTGTCGCCGCCGGCGCGTCAAATGCGGTAAGTCGGCTTGCATCGACGTCTACCAGGAGCCCAACGCATGATCCCGTCTGACGAGTATCCAAGACCTCACGACTCCCGAATGCAACAGATGCTTCAAAGCCAAGCTAAAATGCGGAGGGATCCGCGGATTCAGCTTTATTCAATACAGTGGTAGCAACTGCCAGGATCCTGCGCCTGTCAAAACCTCGTTGCCATCGCCACCATCTTCAGGACGGTCCGCTATCGCATCACCGGAGCAGCCTGCGCTCATGACAACGGCGATCAGCGCCGCTTACATGATTCCACTCCGTTTCTTGGAACCTTCTTTGATGCCGACAGCCATGGACGATATCTTCGTCACGTATACACATAAACATCTGCTTCGGGAAAGTGAGGATATCGTGGTCAAACCAGGTACTGACAGGACCATCACCGGTAAATGCTTCGTCGCCTTGGCCACCACAATGTTTGGCCTCGACAATAGGCAAAAGCCAGTTGTGCAGCGTGGATTGCGGAAATACAGCACTGCCTTAAAGGCTCTCAACAATGCTCTTAGCGACCCTAAGGGCTCTCGATCCTTTGACGTGTTGGAAGCAGTCATCGTCATGGCCCTGTTCGAGGTAAGCTTTCTCCTGGAAACCTCAGGCTGACTAAACCAATAAGCCGTGATGCTCACAACTTTCAAAGCTCCTAGTGGGTGATCGAGAAGACGGGTGGATCGGCCATGCACGCGGCTTTGAGCAGCTGCTGAAAGTCAGGGGACCTGAGTCCATGCAGGAACTACCCTGTGTCATCATTCTGGAGCGGGCCCGGTCTTCCATCATTTTCGCTGCTCTGGTTACTCATACTGGAACCATTCTATCTCGACCTGAATGGAAGAGCATACCCTGGCTACCGCATCCCGAACGCAAGGACCCCTTGCAGCTGCTTATCGACATTGTTGCCGACTGTCCCGGAATCTTTGTCAAGCGAGACGAAATGCTTGTTGGCCAAATGGGTGCTCCGGATCTTGCGTCATTGGTCTCCCTTCGATCACAGGCACGATCGGTCCTGCAAGATTTGGAGGCGTGGGAAAAATGCTGGGCCTTCACCGCCCTCTCACGCTGGACTGAGGCGGCTTCACCGAAGACAACGCCGACGCATGCAGACCAACAGGGAGCAAGAAAGCCTATCTGGGCTACGGTCCTGCAGTATCATTCTCTTTACGATGCTAGCATCTCGAATACGTTCAACGGCGCTCTCATCTTGGTAATGATGTTCATACAAGGGCTCAACCTGCTCCTGCAAGATCTGGAACAATCTGGACTACTGATTAAGCGAATGTATTCATCCGCCATCACTATCTGTCGCAGCGTTGATTTTCACCTTGAACGACTGCGGGATGTTTCCAGCTCATCCATCCTGTTTCCAATGAGAATGGCGTATGAGGTTGTGGGGAAGACGGATAAAGATATCGGTGCATGGCTCGCCTACCAACTGAAGATTATTTCTTCCGGACCGTCTGGGAGATGGGCCATGGCTGATCATCTCCTCGAAATGAAGGCGGCGTCAACACTTAGTTCTGGGGATGTCATTGAAACAGCCTGAAGATAGAAGCGCCCTGACGCAATTCATACATGCAAGAGTCACGCAAGGCTGTCGCGATGTCAACTAGCAAATGCTTTTATATAATGCGAATCTCGATTCAACGAGAGCAAGAATCTTAGATGGGTTTTAAAGGCAAGATTGACAATATGTCGGCATCTGATGCTCAGCAATTGGCGCTTGTCAAGACCTTCGTCGAACAGATGGAATCGAAATTCTATTCATCCATTCGTAAGTCCAGTCTCTGCCGCCATTCACCTAGCAGAATCCCTGAGACTTACGCGCACTGGTAATAGTAAGGTGCTGATACGGCTTGACAGGTTGATCCAGACTAAAGTTTGATCAGTCAGATTCAAGTTCGGCACAAGACGGCTTAACCACTCACAGCGCAGGTAGTGCAACCAGTCCATCCCGTACCGCCACACTGGCCGTACTTGGCAACAGTGCATCCCGGAAGACCGCCAGTCGTGCTCGGCTGGGGAACGCTGGAGGCCGTTCCGGTAGGCCCGGAGCCAGCGGTGCAAGTCGACTCACATCCGACGCAACCAGATCCGGCACTCTTGGTCGAACCGCCAGCGTAGACTGTAGGCCCCGGCACGACATAGGTAGTCAGGGCTCTGTGAATGTCAATGAGCAGACCAGCGTCAGAAGCCTTGTATGCTCCAGGGAATGAAACTGTTCCAGGCGAGGCACTCCCGCCGCCGGTGACAGTCAGCTGGAAGCATGTCATGTACAGCTGAGCACCGCCACTGGAGCCTGCTGCGTGAAGGGCGATTGCCTCGGCCCGAAGCAAGTAGTCCCCAGCTGGGATATCCGAGGGGATCTTAACTTGAACTTTGCCGCAGCAAGTGTTCATGTCTTTCGATCCCCAATAGTCCCCATCGCCATTGGCACTGCCAGCCGCGGCGGCCCATCCATCTTGGTAGACTTTGAACCATCCGGTAGATCCGTCGGCCGAAGAAGAGTCGGAGACCTTGGTCATGTATGCCATAACGGGTCCGTAGTGTGCGCCACCGATGGCTTCTGAAGTACATGACCGATCATTTGGTTGCTGTGAATTCTTGCTCAGAAACGAATGTCGCTTACATGCGCACACCGGAGCATGCTTACCTGGTGCATCTCAACCGTGACCGAAGAGCCAGCCTTTACGACGCATTTCTTGGCCACTGGACCGCTGTTTGCATTGCATCGAAGATCGGTGGAGGAAACGTCTGTAACCGGGGAGTTTGAGAGAGGAAGTCTGGTACACTGGCCACCATACTGTTTCAAGTCAGCACCACGTTTCGACACCTCGAACAACCTTAGAGATATTACATCGACTCCATCAACCCAAAGAGCCTGAAAGGTTGCATGAGAAGCTGCTTGTTCAGCGGCAATTGCCAGCAGGGATAGGATGACAGCCTTCATGACGATCAAAGCTTGGTTTTCGGGACACAAATTGCACACAGGGAACCACGGTCAGGTCGGAACCAGGTGACGACAAGTCCTGGTCGACCACTTTATATGCCTCTCTCGTCCCTCCCTCTCATATGATTGCCATTGCTACATCAACTGAGTTTTAATGAAGTCACATTGTCAAAGAGGCTTGGCAAGATGAACGCGGCAGCTGCTGGTGAAATTCGACGAGTAAGGTGCCTGGACGTAAATGAAGCCATAACCTCGTGGTCACATACTGCAGCCATCAAGACCCAACTTATAGCAGGTGCAACGTATCAACCCCAGGATTTCCCCAGGTTTAATGACATGGTGGTAAGCGGCAGTGAGGTAGTCTCGGTAATTGGTGGATTTCGGCTGTTGGTAAGGATCACGGAGGGAGAAGCCCGTGGTTGCTACTCCCAATGCGGGAATTCTGGGTTTGGTTCCGTTTCGACTTTATGGACTAACAAACAACCAGAATATTCCGACTCTTCTTTCACATCATTGGGTCCTCCTGATGGTGCTCCTCATGATATCAACATGGCAATGAATGTTCGCGGAGACCAACTGAGCTCACTGCTGGGACATTCAATGGCAACGGTTGAAAAGCGACAGCGGTCACTTTTACAAGCACAGGGCTCTTATTCAACCATTTATTGGCCATAGAAATCCGTCGCTATTGCCCTTTATGTTTCTACTGTAAAAGCCCCTACTGGTTTGGCTCGAAACTTCCTCACTATTACCCAGTATTATCACGCCACTGTAGGTCGGGCCAGTCTACTTTAGCGATGGTAGTATTGATCAACTGCCTGACGAATACAAGATGTGAAGAGCAGTCGCATCCGGATCGCGGCACAGATTACAACGTTCCGAGCACAGCTTTCTCTTCTCACATTGCCAAACATCTTAGAGAAAATGGATATTGATGGTAAGAAGCGCCTTGCTTATCCCCAGCCGTCTCCTCGAGTATGCGGAACCTCGAGCAAGAGTTACGGCTATGGTGTCATATCGACATGTAGCTGTGACGCCCGTTTAGATACCATTAGTCTGCTAATGGAAAGTGGACAGATAGTGCACAAACACAAAGGGGAGGCCCGGATTCATATCAGCAGACCAATTTGAAAAGCCCAATGAAACTTCAATGACCTCAAAGTCAACGGCAGCTCACCCAGACCTCGTAGTCATCACTTCGCGGCTTCAGTATAGGGATCTCGGACGAGACCAAAAACCGGTCTCCGATCAGGTAACTTTGGGCCTTCAAGTGTGTATGGTCAAACTTCATCTGAAGCCGAGGTAATCACTCCACGACCCCGGAGATTGAGCAGCTCCACCGTTAATCCAACATGCCGTGTGAAGAGCGTTTTGACCTCAGCGTTGTGGTCATCCCTGTACTCGGGAACTTCACCATTGGCACATTTTGATGTGATTTAATGTGCCAGGCTTCGCAACCAACATATCAGGTTAGCGACTATTCAATTGATGCCTTTGGCCTCCGTTCAATTGACCAGGCCCACGATACAACGACCACAGCCCCATCTGGCCCCATCGGCATCCACTGCATGCCTCCATGAGCCCCATTCACAATGGCGTCGTCAATCCGCCTTGATGGCTCAGTGGTAAAGCGCCTCACTAGTAATGAGGAGATCGAGAGTTCGATTCTCTCTCGAGGCAACTACCTGAAGCGTTAGAAACGCTTCAATTTTTGATCTCTAGTGCTCTTGTACTAGCATCATGGGCGTACTCCCCAACTTATTCTTTTTAAGAGATTTGTTGCAGAACATAACGCAATGTTGGGTAAAATATGGTTAGGTAAGAAGCTACTAAGTAGTGCTGCTTCTGATATGTTTACCTACCCAATTCGCAGGTCGCTCTTTCCTGCTACCGGTAGTGGGCTCTCAACATCCAGCCTTAGTTCCATCATGTTTCAATACATCTCATCTTCAAACGCAAGCACGTGCTGCTGATGATACAACCATTTTCTTCCATCCCGTTAGTTAGCTCGAGTTGCCAATGATGGCATCTTTTCCTCTTGCAACATTCGTTCAGTCTCGACCAACTGATGTTGGCTGGTGCTCGTTTTCGTTACATTGGACTGTTCCTCCTACCCTCGTCAACAGAGACTTGCGTGATAACGTAATCGCAGTCTTCCCTTTGAGTGGAGTCTGACACGTCAATAGGGCCTTCGTACCACATCGTTTGTTGGACAGTGACTATATGCGATTAGATCGGTACACAATGGCCGAAGACCCGGGATGTTGTCTGCCAAAGCATCATTGCAGCACAACAACTTCAATCCCGTCGATAATCACCCCGCCGGATTCTCGGGTTCGGGTTGTTGACAACCTGGGCCGCAAGACACAGCTACCCCGCGCCATCTCCATGCAAGGACCCAATGATCAACTGGGGTTTTCGTTCACGGTGTGGTGCTATTGGTCCCACTCTTTTGCCAAAAATGGTCTGTGAATGGCTCGCTAGAAATGTCGGACAACGCGAAGGGACGGGGATTCACGCCAGCAGTGACGAGGTGAAAATTGGAGAGCTTGGACAAGTGTGCGGAGCCCATGCTTGGCCTTCGGATGAACATGCATTTGAGCCGTCGGGTAGATGGGACTCAAGACGAAATGGTCTTGCAACATCAGACGATGTCAACGTTGGCCGGGACATCAATACAGAGCTTGGATGCCCCGGAACAAATCAGAAGCTGACGACTGGTTCTATAGTCACCGACTCTCGTAAAGACCAGCTGCACTCCGCCATCTTGACCTCAAGGCAGTCTGGGCACGTCCTCAACATTCGATATTGATGATTGCCAGAATGCGACGTTGGCCAACAGCGGATACAACAACGGATCAGGTACGATCGAGCCAGCCAAAGTTTGTTGATGTTTTCCGGATACCAGCAGCTCTTATGATTGGTCGAACCCCAACTTTCGGACGACCTCCCTCCGTGATGAAAGAGGCAAAGTGGACTGCCCGCACTCTTGGCATCTCCAAATCCTTGGAGAAGATCGCATGGCACGCGGGCCAACGGTCTCCGTGATTAATCTGGACAAGTGTCGGCCCTGAAGTCCGGGGCAGGGGATCTTTCATCGATCGCAATAAATATGAGCAGTCCCCGCCCTTGTTTGCGATGGATTCGTCGCGCTGGATTGGAAGACGTAGAGACTGCTGAAGCATCCGTCAATTGTCAACAATGCTGCCCAATCTCTCCGGTCTCCTTTCAATTGGCCTGCTGGCCGGCGGAGCTGCCGCCGCGCCGTGCGTCAGGAAAGGATACGTGACGACCTCAGGTACTAAGTTCCAGCTGGATGGCGAGGACTTCAACTTCGCGGGAAGCAATGCTTACTACTTCCCTTTCGACAACGTAAAGAAACCCAATGGTCTCGATCAAGATGATAGAAGCTGACAATGGCCCTCAGAACCAAGCCGATGTCGAAGCTGGCATGACAGCCGCGAAGGAAGCTGGCCTGAAAGTTTTCCGGACCTGGGGCTTCAACGACAAAAACGTCACCTACAACGCCGGTGGTCTCCCTCAATACGGCGGTGAGGGCGCTGGTGACACAGATATCGTCTTCCAGAGATGGTATGACAACGGCACCTCGGTGATTAATATCGACGCCTTCGACAAGGTTGTCAATGCCGCGACGAACGTCGGTATCAAGTTAATCGTCGCTCTTACGAACAACTGGGCCGACTATGGCGGCATGGATGTCTACACCGTCAATCTCGGTGGCAAGTACCACGACGACGTAAGTGTTTCGTTATCTTACGACCAGAATGGCAAAGCTAACCAGACATTGCTTCAGTTCTACCACGTACCCGCGATCAAAGACGCCTTCAAGCGCTACGTGAAGGAAATGGTCACCCGCTACAAGGACTCTCCCGCGATCATGGCTTGGGAGCTCGCCAACGAGCCGCGCTGTGGAGCTGATGGCACCCGTAACCTTCCCCGAAGTGACGACTGCACGCCGGCACGTCTCGGTGCTTGGATCGAGGAGATGAGTGCTTACGTCAAGAGCCTCGACAGCCACCACCTTGTCACCTGGGGCGGTGAGGGCGGCTTCAACATCGAGTCCGATGACTGGGCCTACAATGGAGCTGATGGCAGCGACTTCGACCACGAGCTCGCTCTGCCCAACATTGACTTTGGCACCTTCCACTCGTACCCCGATTGGTGGAGCAAGACTGTTGAGTGGACAGAGCAATGGATCCACGATCACGCCGCCTCTGGCCGGAAGGTCGGCAAGCCTGTGGTGCACGAGGAGTACGGTTGGTTGACTGCCGACAAGCGCCTGGAGTACCTTGGCGTCGTGGACAATACGCCTCGTACTGAGGTCCTTGGAAAGTGGCAAGCTATCTCTCTCGAGGAAGAGATGCCTGACATGTACTGGCAATATGGGTACTCCAACTACTCCTACGGTCGCAACCACAATGATGGTTTCACGATCTACTTGGACGATGCCGAGGCTCAACCTCTCGTTTATGAGCATGCCGCAAAGGTAAACGCGCTCTAGTCGGTCATGAAGCCTTGTAGATAGATTTGCTTATGAAACACGCTGCGTAATATTCTATGATAATGTTACATATATATCATCTTCGAACCAATTGCCAACCTTAATATCTGCCGTATTGGTCATCGACAGGCTGGTAGCTTGTCATGGGAAACCCCTTGCGAGCATTTCTCTGCTTACGCTCCTCTGCTTTCATGTGCAAACCAAACTTGATAGCCTCGACAATCTCCATGGGGTTCCACATTTCCACGAGCGCCCACAAGCCTCCCGGTCCGCCAGAATAGCTCTGAGGTTCATATGCCTCCAGATCTCCAGCGACGGGGCGGCGAGCGTGGCCACCACCGATGATGTAAGGGCGATGAGAGTAGGCGTAATGGAAGAAGATCGCCAATGGGAACATCTCAATGCAGATAAGCATGGAAGGGATGCCAATGTTGAGATCCGCCCAGGTAAGCATCGCCGTGGGGTTCAACGCCCCGACATCTCGGAGAATCCAAAAGATAATCTGTTACATACTGGTCAATACGAAGACCAAAACACGAAGGATTGATCCTAAACTTACATTTTCAAGGAACGTCAGGGATACAACCAGCTTGAATGCCGAAAACTTGGCCAAGGGCTGGTGATGGGCTAGGTGGCCTCTCAACTGCATGTAGAAACGGATAACCGTCATGATTGCGATTGTAAGCGATACACTGGCAATAATTGAAAGCTTTGATGGATGAGTTAACGAAGTCATGGCTTCCTGGCTTTGGAGTTAAGACTTACCCAGAGCTTGGCGAAATGAGCCTTGCTTGCAAATTCGCAGTAAACACCTGCGGCTTGCGTGATAGCCGTCAAGATGGCGATCAACAAGGAGACAACAGGATACTGAAAGATGGAAAACCACATCCTCTGAAAGCATGTTAGCCCTGAGAGAATATGCACAAATCATCATCTAATCGACGCACCCTAAACCATTGCAAGCCATCTTGCGTTCCAGTTTCGGACTTTTTGTCCTTGATGGTGAGAGCTGCGAAGAACACATCTCTGTGTTGCTCGCTGGGGGAGACGAATTCGCACAGCAACAGGAAAAAGGTGCCAAGGCAGATAGATTGAACGAACTCAAGCCACGGGTGCAGGTAGACTTGTGCTGCCGGGAAGCACATTGAAAGAAACGAGAATATCGACCAAAATGGAATGATGAGTGAGATGCGCAAGATTCTGAAGGGTAGTCAGAACATGTTTGGCAGAGTTTGAAGGATATGAGACTTACTTGATCTGCTCGTTACTCTTGCTAAGATGCGTCGCGTGAAGAAACATGAAGACGAAGATAATGAGGCATGCGGCAGCCGTAAAGCTTCCGGATAGAATCATGTTAAACTTGTAGAACGACATGGTTCCGATGAATGGCTGCGAAGCATCTGTGTCTCGGTCAGCATTGATGATCCCTGACTACATTCTGGCTTCCATTATTACTGACTTTCGTCGAGGGATTGTATGGGGCAAACGTCATTGTCCGTTTTGTTCCCGAGGTCTCTGACGCGGATGAGGGACTCCATTGTGGTGACTGATCCTCAAGTGGTGTCCTCTGGTAGGTGTTGATGTTGAAAAGTGTGAATATCTTGACTGGAAATCAAATTCGTCGTTAGATTCGAGCCATGTAATATTTATCTCCCAGCCAGCGAAGATCTCAAGGCTTTGCAGGCAGCCAAAGAAAGCCATCCACGCACTCTGTCGGTTTCATCGCATTCGCAACTGCAGCACACTAGACACCGCCCCCGCAGCCCGCCTGGCAAAAGGCGTTCGCAGGAGCAGAATGCCTGACTTCAGCGCTCTGAGCCAGTGGCTGAGCAACCGTCAATCGGAGGTCGGCACCCAGGGCGCTGATGAGGTCGAATGGCTTGCCCAAAAGGGGATGGTTGGCTGACTCGGCACAGAATTGCCGTGCTGACATTGGACATTGCTATCTAAACGATCCTCTTGTTATCTAAACGCAGGGCGCTAAGAAGAAACAAGCTTCGCTATCCCCGAGCTCAGGGCGTCGCGCGAATGCTTAGCTGGACCCCTACTGTTGTTTGCACATTGCGATTGGGCCATGCTTGTGTTCAATGGGAAGAAGATCATCGTTATATGCAGCTGTGCTTCGTCCGGCCTCGAGGTTATTGTTGGTCCCGCCCGTGGAATGACAGCAGCGCGTTGCTGACCCAATACCGTTCGCTTTCAAGCACTTTGGGGCCCAGTATCCGAAAGATCGGTTGGCAGATGTTCCCGGTCTCCCAAGTCATCTACACAAATACCAGCCATTGCCTCGGGAGGAAAGTTTAAGCCACCAGGTCGCGGCTGCAAAGCCACCAGAATGCCTTTTTCTCTCCCTATACGATATAGCGCATTCTTTGCAATCTTCCTCCTGTGTCTTGGAACGGTCGGCATGACGTAGACCTGGCTCAACGGCCAAATTAGTCGAAGCGCGTCGAAGTAAGCGGCAGGAGATTGCGGGTCCATGTCTGACATGCTTCCACCAAGGGACTTTGGTATCCCGTCCACAACATCTTGGGCTGTGGCTCCGATGATCTCGAGGCACAGCTCACGACGGGCTCGCAGCGCCTCCCGCTGGAAGGGGCATTCCGGTGCGTGCTCGACGATATTCGTGACAAGAATCAGCATGTGATGTAGCTTGATTCGAGCACTTCTCCAAGAGCTCCAGAAGTAATGAAATACTGGCCCAGATTCAAATTGGTATTGAGGTGCTGATTGAATCCATTCCAACATAGCGAGTTCGGCTTTGTCGCATTCAGCAAGCAGCTCTTCATACTGAGCACATGCCTGTTGGGCATCTCCAAGACGCGCGATAGGCATCATTTTGGATAGAAGAGAGCATGTCGCTGCAATGTAGCGACCGGTTTCGAGTAGCAAAGCTTCGCCAGGTTGCAAAGTCTTCGCTATGATTTTGAACCAATGATCGAACTCTGGTGGGCATGGTTCGTTGATTGTCGTGCATCGGATTTGCTATCACATTTCAGCGAGTACCTTCGCCAGTATTCGTCTCACAAACCCACAATGATGTTGTGCATGGTCCAGAAGATTTGCCGACCCGATCTTGTGAATAGTTGTGCATCGCCTCTTGCACGGAGGAGGCTCATTAAACCGTGAGTGTGGATGTACCAGCCGGGAGAAGAGGATATGGCCTTTTCTTGAGGGGTTAAAAATGACCTCCTCTCGAGACCTCCCATGAGCAGCTACAGGAAGTTAGCAAGCATCGAATGACTGGACCGCCTAATGATTACCTCGTAGTTGCCCAAAAACCACACCGCCACAATAGTTGCATCTGACGTGTGGGCCTTCGGGTCATTTATAGCTGCTGAGACTGATGCTAAAGCCTTTCCCAGACAAGAGGATAACTCGCGATAGTCGGTGTTGGGCCTGTAGCGATTGAGGACGTAGGCGCGAGCAAAAGCTTGGCTTGTGCGGACTAAGCAATGATCGTCTGGGACCCCCTTGAACAATCCGGGCAGAAAGTTGATTGAAGAATAGCAGTCGAGGACAAGGGGTATCGATTCAGCGGTCCAATGTTGACGAACGGGCCTCAGCAATGGTGGCGTCGATGGAACATTCGAACACTGAGATGATGCAGGGGAAGCTGTTGATTCCGGGGTGAATGCGATCACCTGGATCACGTTCATAGGCTGGTCTGGGTTATTCCGCTGTTTCTTGCTTTTACGTTTCTCAAACGTGTTTGAGTGCGAGTGTTGAAACCGTAGATCTTGCTCATCTCGATAACCCGGACATCGAACTCCATATTTGATGCATCTTTGACATTGAGGTTGGCCCAGATCACACTTCAATCTGGAGTCAGCTGCATGGAAAATGTGGATGCCCATGGGACTCGGCAGCAACATTCAAAGGCTTACTTTCACTCTCCTTTGCCGGCAGAGATGGCAATTAGGACTTGGTTTCCCGGTATTGGGCATCGCGCGATGTGGCAGTCTCGTCTTCAAATCGGGATATTCAGATGTCTGGGTTGCGTTGTTCAGGTTTGGCGCCGTCTGGACAGGGTCGATACCCGAGCTTGGCAAGATCCGTGGCCAGAGAATCAAGCGGGGACTTCGGAAGGAAAGCTATCATCTCGAATGGACATCTCAAAACGGTTAGAACCAAGCTGACGGTCGGGACCCGAAGCGCCTTGTTCGCTGCCTAAAAAGTCGCAGCCATGCCGCATGTCTGGGGTGGGGACAGCGAGGGACTTTGGTGTCTAGTACCATGTGCGCCAGTTAGCCTGGAGCCCTCCCTGGCTACGGTCTTATCATTGGACAGCGGATTTGCGGAATGATCATAGAAATGATACGGAAGTTCAATTGAGTATCAGAAAACTCGTTGTATTATTATTCCAGAATAAATTAGAGTACAACCTGAGAGGCCTCTATGCATCATTCAATGTCGCCTTCTTTCAGCTCAGGACTGAGGTCTTCAAGTTTAGTTATCAATGCTTTCAATGACACTTCTCTTCGTGTTGCGTGTTAATCCCAACAGATGGGACGAGCAATTTAGATGAACTTTTCTGGTTCATGATGGTATGGTCATAAATGTCAATCCCTGGCATGCTAGCAAGCATGCCGCATGAGAGCTGAGTAGAAGTAGCTCCTGTTTTCGCATTTGGCCCCTCAACACGCGGCACATCATAGATGCCATGTGAGCACAGCGCTTTTGGTTCTACATCATATAGGCGCAGATAATCAGTGTCGAGCGAAAGAGACTGAAAGTTGAGGGATCCGATGTTTCAGTCCGGCCACTTTACTGATCTTGTTGCATGACTGATTTCCGATGATAATCAAGAAATAGATTGTCCAGTTATCGGCCGCCTCGAAGCTATCACGAAGAGAATAAAGGCGCGATAAGGTTGCGAACTCTCCCTCACATTCTTACAAGTTCTTGCCACAAACCTCGTCCATCCCCAAGAGTTTCAGCGGCAAGTAGAGTGTCGTTGATGAAGATGGCTGTTAAACAGTATTCCGTCTTAATCACCGTGAACATTCAGGGCACAATTTGCAATTGTAAGCGCTTTATATGTTCAGAAGAAAGCGTGCGTGCTAAGATCACAGCCACCTCTAAGGTTTTGCGGCTGAGAAGCTGTTGTGGCTGGCGGGGACAGCTTTGACTTGCGTCTCGTCGGGAATACCTAAGCAAGCCATATGGCAACTGGTTTCGACAATGAATGCCTAAGTTTCATAGCGACATTCATCTAACCAACATAGACCAGAAACGGATTCCAAACGGTCCACAATTATGGCCATACTCAAGGGGAGGAGTGATCAATAGTAGTCCATCCGCTGGGACCAGTTCCGCTTCCAATCCTGGCGAAGACAAGGAGTTTCATTGATGGGCTCAATTGAGGCTTCACATGGTAGGATATTGCACTTTCGACACACGAAAACCACCTGACAAACAGCTTACATGTTCCCTACCACATACTTCCATGCGAGCTTGATGCTTTTGGATCAGAATGTGGACTTGGACATTTGGCATAACTACCTAGATACAGATGATCAAAAATTTGCATATGGTGTTGAAGGGGGGCGAAAAGAGCAGACGTACCAGCACTTGTGCTCGCTCCGGTTTCGACAAGTATAGTGGGCTATTTGCTGACAGCTTTCGGCCGCCTATGGCAAACCAGAAGGTCACATGTCTTATGCATCATGATTTAAAACAGTATGCTCACTCGAAGTATGTACGGAGTCTAAGGCCATGAATGATTTCTTGGATCATGATACCGCGGATAAAATCACAACAAGGGGCTTCAGTTCTAGCCAATCGTATCCCAGCACGTTGAGAAGCTACTAGCAACTTCCCAGGCACCCTGTATGCAGGCAAACTGAAGGATTCCGCAAACTTGCATCTTCCAGAATAGAAAGACCGCAATTGATCCTAATATCGTGGTCGAAATGAGCATGATTAATTACATGGGACATTGCCGAACCACTAGCGTGCCTGATGCCATCTTGCCAAGCAGCTTGGCAGCGAAACGGAAGATACAACGTGAGAAGCTGTAGGTGTTTATGGTAGTATAAGATCGACTTTGGTAGTAACCTTAAAAGAGTCTCAGTCAGGAGAGCGACCCAACCAATGGCGTCTAAGCACGCAAGCATTTGATAAGGCTCTCCTGAAATGCACATGAGCGTGCCTCTTCCTTCTCCTGCAAGGCAACCTAAGACTCACTCAGCTGTTAAGAGCTTCACGTTTCCGACAGGGCCAATGGGCTCTTTGGACTCGGACACTTACCTTCCGCTTTTGGCCGCCATGCCCACTCACTTTTACTGTCTTCATTCGATTTTTGAACTTGTCGAGGTCTGGACTCCCTAGTAGGCTTGCGAGGCCGACGGGTTACAGGCTTGGCGCTTACTGTTTTCTTTCTTGTCGGCAGGTTCAAGTTCCATTGAAGGATCCGAGGTGTTGAAGCGACAACAGGGTAATGCATCTCCAGGCACCAGCTTGACCTTCACGACAAACAGAATTGAGACTGGAGGTGTCAGCGGACGATGGTTTCCCAATGTCGAAACAAAGTATAAATGAACGCGGGCATCCATCACTTCGTGGAATGGAAAAGCCCAGAGCAGACTTGGCTTTCTTGAAAATTCTTCTCCTCCTATTGTTTCATCGGACAAGAACATCATGCTTTCTCCCAGCAAGTCTACAGCCATTGCGGCCTTGGTCCTCGGTGCCGGCGTCTTCGGTGCACCAACCTCTGAGGACCTCAAGCTCCCAGACCCGAGCGAGTTCAAGCCTCTCATCGGGTATGACCCCAACTTTGACTCCTCCCTCCGAGAGAACAGGGTTTCTGCCATTGTCCCAGAAGTCCGTACTCTCAACATCACCGGGGTTCCAGATAGCAACATCAACGACTTCCCTCCGTCTTTCACTGGGCCTAATGAGCCCGCATCCAAGCGCTCGATTATCGGGGTAGACAACAGAGTCCTCTGGACCGACAAGAACTACCCTTATCGCGCCATGGGACGAATCCAACATTCCAACGGAGTCTTTTGCAGTGGTGCACTCATCGGGTCTCGTCATGTGGTGACAGCCCGACACTGCATCCCAGGCGAGGGTGTGTCTGCCCGCTTCCAGCCAGCCTACGACCAAGGCGAGCCGTACGGAGGCTACGATGTTACCGTCGTTTTCCGCCCCGACTACGGCCAGACTGGCTGGTGCGCCAATGCTTACGACTGGGCTATCTTCGTTCTCGGGGAGAAGGCTGGAACGGCCAACGGCTGGCTAGGGCTCAAAGTGGTGAACCCAGATACCCAGCTGAACCGCGCAATGTTCTTTCACTACGGCTACCCGGGCGACAAGGGTGGACAACGCCCCTATCGCCAGGAGGGCATCACCGCTTCAGCTGCGACTGGTTGTGATAGAGGATCTCCGGTTGTCACCGACACCGACTCTGCTGGGGGCCAGTCCGGTGGCCCATTCTGGATCAACGAGAACGGAGACCGCTACCTGTACGGCGTGCACGTCGGTAGTACTGACACCTTTGCCGTCACCGCCGGAGGTCCATCTCTTTTTGAGGGTTATGGTATTCTTCTGAAGGATTATCCCAACTGATAGACTGGCTTTGCGATTCAACATCTTTCTCCTTAGACTCGACATGATATATTTTATGACGGCCTCATCAACATCACCTAAGGATAGATGCTGCTAGAATCAATAAAGAGGTTCAGAATACCAGAAGCTGTGTGCTTTCTTTGGCATTGTTATTTATATGACATGTTTTACAAAGCGATGAGCTCCACAAATTACCAGCTATATCTTCATCATTGAGCAGATGTCAGACTATTTCTTTAGTTGGTCATGCTTGAAGATACACTGGCAGCCTTTGTGGGAAGATGGGTAGACGAAGCTGTTTTTTGCGAACCGGTGTCTTGGCTGCCAGGGGTTCCAGCACGTTGTCACCAGGCTCCAGCTTTCCGACCGACCTTTTAATGAAAACATATGGTAGGCAGCAACCAACGGCGATCATCTTCTTCCATCTTGCAACACGCCAGATATGTTGACTGCCGTAGTATCTATAGCTATCACAACTCCAATAGCTGTTTATCTTCTCATACCTGGTCACATATATTATCAATACAAAGACCTCTTCTATCAGTATCTGGGCCCCTATCAACACCTGGACCCAACGGGAACTCCACGGCCACCTCTCTGTTGTGATACTTGTCGCACAGAAATGAGTCAGACCACAGAAGAAGAGGCGCAACCAGACGAGTTCGCCGATGCATACCCGTATTTGGATCGGGATTACATTCACTACAAGCAGACCTTTGGGGCGATCCAGGTGCAAAAGTCATCGGTCTTCTCGCCGACGGCGGGATCCTCGTTCTCCGCAATTGCGACGCAGTAGAACTCGCGTTCCTCCAGCTTGACCGGCTTGAGCCAACTCCACGACCCATCGACCGGATGTTAGAGGATGCTCACTGCGAGCGCATGCGCATGCTGGGTGCGGAGTGCTGGAAACATGACGAAGCTTTCGCAGTTCACGAAGCATTTGAGGGCGATAAATCATACCGTGAGGATGTTTTGATTGCAGGGTACCCCGCTGCTGGGGGCGTGTGGGTGTTGCAGGCGAAGCCAGCTGCTGCGGCGCAGGCCGGGGTCGGTCGGATCAAAAACGCGAGGGATATGGAGGAGCGATGCCGGCTCATCGAGAAGCTAGGAGGAACGTTTCATGAGGATCTTGAAAATGCAACGCCTTTGTTTTTTGAAGACAGGATCCGGTCTCCGCCTGGAGGGTACTACTGCGGTAATGTGCTGAGCTACGAGCAAATGCGAGCCTTGGAAAGGGAATCACATGGCTGTTGATGTCTACCGTCCAAATAACCACACCAGTGGGAAATGCAGGAACCAGCATGTTCCTTAGAAACGCTCCACTATATAAAAGACTCGAAATCTCCAATTATGGCGCTCAAATTGAATTAATCGTCCAGTGGCATTTATGTAAGTCTTGAACCAGCAATCTTCGTGAATCATTGCTGAATCTTGAGGCAACTCGATCACTTTAAGCGGCGAGTTGGCTGTTGGTCAGCGCCCGCAAGCACTTACAGTCAGCCTCCAAAGTCAGCCCGTCAGCAAGCCCAACGCGCCCATGCAGGCAGAATCTCACTGCCTGCACCCGAAGGCCTAGATCAATGTTTAGCGCCGTTAACTTGCAGATGGAGTTTGCCCATCAGCCCAGCTGTGCTGAAAGGCAATAACTGGCGAACAGTGGGTTCAATAAAACTCCAACGGACAGGCCCTTCGACTTCACGATCCGTCATCCCTTCGGTCGAACTCAACACCATAGATTCTCATTCAGTATCTTGCAGTCCTCGTCTTTCGGACTCCATCTTTGATAATGTCGGTCACAACCCCCTCGATCAAGCAACTGCTACAGCCATTTATAACGCAAGGCAGGAAATGGCTGGAAGAGTGCACCGCAAGTCACGCGTCGTGCAGCAAAGCAGCCAGGCACAGTACTGTGTTCTGCACTGACAACTCTCTCCTTATCTCAGATCTTGAGGGCGAGGGATTGGTTGCAACACGTCTTCTTTCGTTTCCTCTGAACCCATCAAGCGAGGATGAAGATATCGTTCGGTTGTCACTTTCCGAGTCGCTCAGCCCAGATACGAAGTACGTCGCTCTCAGTCACCGATGGGGACTGAAAGAAACATGCTGCACACTGAAGGCCAACTTGGACAACATGGTTGAGAAAGGCATGCGCACGTCAAGCCTTCCTACGACCTTCCGCGAGGCAGTTTACGTTGCGCGCGGCATGGGATTCTCGCACATCTGGATCGATTCACTATGCATCATCCAAGACGACAAAGAGGACTGGAAGGCTGAAGCAAGACGAATGGCTATCATCTACGACAATGCAACCTGTACGATTGTTGCGATGGATGGCATTGATAGTGAGGCCGGTCTCAGCATACAGAACTCGGAGCTCAAGAGCGCTGGTGTTTTGGACTCTCGGGCTTGGGTATGTCAAGAGCGGATGATCTCACCCCGATCTCTTATATTCTCTGAGGACTCTCTTTCATGGGAATGCCGCGAATGCGATGCTTCCTTTGCGGAACCCAGCTTGGTGGCTCGACGAGCACCAGGTACGAACGAAACTCAGACCCACCCCAAGGATATTTTTGCCTTCTTCAGAGACTTCCGTTTGCCGCGTCTTATCCCCAAGGAAGAGAACGAACGGGATGATGTGGAAGAAGAAGAGAGTGAAGAAGACCCGGACGAAGATGATGAGCTTGAGGGAGCGAACCACGAGGGAGATGATATGGACGTTGACAGTAGCGAAGATGCTGTTGAAGACGATGACCACGAAGGCAGCAATGAAGAAGTTGAGGATTCATCTGACGACGAAACCCACGGAATGGGAATCACCACAACTCACTTCGCGGATGACGGTCAGAATCACCACGGCTCTGGGCTCGACGACGAAGCCTACGACAGTGACGGCTATCCAGCGTACCGAGGAGGTCTGCCGGGGCATGCTGCGAATCTTTCGGTTTTTCTCGAAGGCAAGGGGCCATCCAAGCTCTATCGCGTGCACCCCGACGGCCCAAACGACGATGGAACCGATCCATTTGGAGATTACATGGTAGTGGCAACTGATCTCAGCCGACCTCGAGACGTGTATTATCCTTTTCTCAAGACATGGTGGCAGTTTCTTTCCAACTACTCCTCGTTATCTCTAAGCTACAGCTCGGACAAGTTCCTCGCTATCAACGGCATCACCACCGTGGCCCAAAGATGGACACATCTCCGGTCATCCTTTGGTCTCTTCTACCACTTTTTCGAGACAGAGATGCTATGGTATTTGGATCCGGAGGGTTCGTCGGGGGAGCGACAGAATCCTTGGCTGGTACCGACGTGGTCGTAGGCCTCGAGACGGAACGGCAGCGTTGTCAACGACATGTACCGCCGTCTGCCGATGCGTGGTAGTCTTTTGATCAAACCTGAAATCAAGATGGGAATGGGCACCGCGTTCGACCAGCCGCTCCCTTTTGCCGCGTGGATGGCTCGACGTTATCACACTCTCGAGATGAAGGGCGATTTGAGGAAGGGCGTTGTCACAGCAGATCCGGGAGCTGATGGAAAGATCCAGTATAACATTACTCTGGAGAAGAATGGCCGGTTCTCAGACGAAGAGGTGCACGACTTTCGACCTGAATGTGCCGAGGAGTTCCCAGTTGGCGAGTCTGTTAATGTGCTCTACATGGTTTGGTATCATTAAGACGCCGACTACTGGAAGCTCGACAAGCACATTAACGTTGGCTTGGTATTAAAGCAGATGAAGGGGGAGACAGAAATCACCATGTACGAGGACGATGTGGCCAAGGAGTCTACCAGTGAGCAAAGGCTTCTGACTCGTCTGGGATATTTGGAGACCACGTATCCCACGGGAAGCCGGCGAAACATGGCGGAAGTCATGGAAGAGTTGACCTGGTATTTGGTAAGGGTGGCATAATTCCCAAGCTTGAAAATCAGTACGTAGAACAAAACATCAATTAGGCCAAGGTCACCTGAGTTATCTTTAGCCGATACCTCAGCGCAACCAAATTCACATAAAGCACATCGCGTTTGAAGCCTGCAAATTCAAATTCTCTACAAATGGGTATGAAAATCTAACGGGTCGTCGTGAAAGTAACAACACCAGAGATACTTGCGGTAATCAAGCAAGAAGCAATTGACACCATTCGCTAAACTAAGCCTTGAAGTTCTTACCGCTACTGGCCACTGCCGTCATGTTGGTGGGTCCGACCTTGATGTAATCCTTCTCCTTCGGGAATGAGTCGATGAGAGCATCCGAGAAGCCAAGAGTATCCTTGACGACCTGCTTAGGCGTCAGGGCCAACCACTGAGCAACGCTGATATCCGTGAATCGCGTGGCCTGAAGCACCTCAAGGAAGATGACGTCCTCGGTACCGGTGTTCTCGATGTAGTGACTGTCGCCGACCTTCACGTATCCAACGTCGCCGGCAGTGAAGTCAAAGGTGCGGGAAGCCTCAGGGGCCTGGAAGACGGTGATGCGGCCGGAGCCCTGAAGGAAGTAGTTCCACTCGTCGCTGGTGGTGTGCCAGTGGATCTCACGCATGGCGCCAGGCTGGACAACAACCAGAGCGGCAGAGAAGTTCTCCGCGATGGGGAAGGTGAGAGGGTCGAGGATCTTGACGGAGCCACCGGGGACCTCGAAAGGCTTCTGTTGCGACCAGTGGTAGGTGTAGGACTCGTCACCGGTGAGAGCACCGGCGGAGGAGGTCTGGTTCTGCTCTTGGATATCCTTAGGTGGGGGGGTTCCATTGAAAATCTGCATGTCGTTAGTTTCTGCATGGTTTGTAGCGAGCAATACTGCGACTTACGTAGAGCTGATCCTTAGGGATGTTGGCGAACTCGGAGACATCTGCCTTCAGGTTCTTGGAGAGAACCGAGATGGGGTTTCTCAGCATCAACTCGGTCATCAAGAAGGTGTTCTCTTCGCTGAAGTCGCCTTGGTCGAAGACCAGAAGGAACTCGACACCCTGGTCGAAGGCCTGGATGCTGTGCGGCACGCCGGCAGGGAAGAACCAAACATCACCTGCTCATGATCAGTGAATGCCCAATGTAACTAGTGATAAGGTCTTCATACCGGCGCAGATGTCGTCCACAATACTCTTGCCATCCTCATTCATGGCGGCAATGCGGCAGCATCCCTTGAGGACAAGAGCCCACTCAGCTGACGTGTGCCAGTGCAGCTCGCGGTAAGCGTTGGGCTGCAGCTTCATGTCCACACCGGCCATCGCCGACGCGACCGGGAGCACATCAGAATTCTGCTGACGCGCCCAGCCGGCTCCGTCTTGGCTGCCGAGCCGGTTATGCGAGAGACCCAGGGGCCACATGGCGTTCTTGACGTCGCCCTTGTCGGTGCCGGGAGGGGCGAACAGATCGGGGTTAAGCTTTTCGTACGCATACGTTCCTGCGCAATCGATGGTTAGCGGGGTGGCTGGCCGTTGACTCGTTACGGGCTAGGTGCAGATCATCAACCCCGCCAGAGCCGCCGGGGATGCTACGTACTTGGGCCGGGATCCGGGGATCCTAGTTCCCCGCGGATGGGTTGCGGGACCTCGACGCCATCGAAGTTGAGGTACAGGCCGAGTTTGCCGTCTTCTTTCTGGCCCGGGACGAGCTGGGCGTCGTTGACGATTGCCGAGTCGGACTGGTCTGGGTCGGGCCGCGGGGCATTGCCTCCGAGAAGGCTCGAATCGCCCCTCAGATTTCCGGTAGGGCTTGTGACTGTGGGAATGGGCGGGCTGATTCCTCCCACCGGCCCATCGTTTTCTCCATAATCACCCATTCTGAGGTTGTTAGTCGAGGCAGAGACGGATGAACGGCGATGGGGGAACTTACTGAGGCATGGGGACCGCATATCCCATGGGCAAAGCCCCAAGAAGTCCCAGGAGGAAAGCTGCGTGGCTGATCATGATGCTTGAATCTGACTGAAGACGATGAACGCTGGCGGCTCAATAATGTCAAGACTAGCGATTGGGTATCTTGCTCCTCGGTGAGTTGGAACTGGATGATGAGGTTGGATCTCTGCCACCTTGGAGACTGACGACTTCTTATACTCACGACGTGAACCAGACGAACCTTCATCCCGTCAACAACGGTGAAGGCCAAGACAGCCTCCCGTTCGTCAATGCCGTTCTCCGATTAAACCCCCTCTTACCACCCCTCAGTTAGTCCATGTCATCAACCGGGATGAAGTTTATCAGGGTGCAGCTAGAAACTCCGTCTTGCCCGCAACGGGACGGCTAGATGTGGGTGACACGGGACCTCCGCGTGCCAAAAAAGCAAAGTAATATGTCCTGAATAGTCCAGGTCTAGAAGCTTGGGCGCACGTGTGGTCTCTGCGATGACGCGTTATTCGCCCTTCGCGAGCGTTGAGACGGTCAAGAAGAGGACCCACGTCCGGTTGTGTCGGCACTGGCGATGTACGCGAAGTGGATGTACTACGAAAGGTCCTCGGTCAAATCACACAAACCAGTGAGACACTATGGATTACTCACAACCCCGCGAAAGCCTGCAAAATAGCGCAATTGACCAGAGTCCATAATCACCGCCTTTCTGCAGGTTTTGCGGAGCTTTCGGCATGGTTACTGTCTTTGAGTCCCTCTCTTGGCCCCATACTACATATTCAGCCCTCTACGGGGATAGAGCTGATGGGCTAAAGGTTAAAAATAAGGTGGAATCGGGTGGCGTCTTGGTTGTCCGTCTGATGACGGGAACACCCCACGTTGCACCAGGCCCCTATTGCCAAACGCGGCAGTTCTGAGTTAAAGGGAGGTGAAGTCACCCAGACGTCTCTTGAAGAATTGGTCCGTTCGCTGTTTCCTCGTCTGAACAATTTGTCCTGTACAACCCTGCATTAGGAACCTGATTATTCATGCATAACAATTTAAGCCTCGAGGCTGGGGAGCTAAGGGGTGTGTGATGACATTGATTCACGTCCTTTTGATGGCCGCAGCGGGCCGGTGGTTCGCAGATAGCTCGGGATTGGCCGCTTACGCCTCGATCTAAGACCTACTGCGGTATCCCGCTTCTGTGCATCGTTATCGTCGCATGCCACCGAACGCAGTGCACTTCTAAACTCCGCGAGATGGGGCCTTTGCGAGACTAATAAGCACGCCGTTGCGCGGCACTCGTCAGCAATTACTACTGCTCATTATCTCAGAAGAGCTTGATAAGGTGAAAACTAGATACTCGGCCGGGTCGGGTTCGAAGCGAGCCGTTCGGATCCTTCTCGGTCGTAACGATGGAAATATTCTAGCAGCCGGACATTTGAGCTCTTGAAGGGGTCGAGGAAAGCGATTGCACCATAGGGGTTAAGACGGCTATACCGTGTTCTCGGAGGTTAATTAGTTGAAGCAATGACAGGGCGGGCTATGCAACGTTGTCTTCCAATTTGGTCAAGATTCTGAATAAAGTCAGGCATCGGCAGCTGACAGCATCAAAGCTTGTTCTCAGATAGTAACACCCCGTAGTCACCTAACCCTTCGGATCGATCTGTGGTTGGAATATGAAGGAACTTAGATCTCTGGTCTCGACTCGTTGCCCGCGCGTGTTCGTGTATGCATCACCCCCTAAAGATAGCCCGTGCTACCATCCCGTTAGATGGGAAGACATTGCAGCATGGGTCAAGACATCTGGATAATACCACACGATCAGTGATATTGGGCTTGGTTGTGAGTGTCTCCGACTTCATGGCAGTTGAATGACTGCCGGACGAGCCAACAGATGCCCCTCATCTCTGGGAGGGGGCTTTCAGCCAAGCGGCCCTACGGCAGTCGAGATTAAGGGTCATAACACGCCTCGAGTTGATCATTCCCTCTACTACCAGGGATATGTTTTATTTGCCCTCTCTTGATATGATAGAATCCCACCGGCATAAACTCCCATCAGTCCCCGATGCATGTTGGACATCAATACTTGCAGGCCGATGGCTACCCCATAAGCTTATTTCTGATACTTGAACGCCATATTAGCGTCGGAAAGCTCTTGATGAGATCATTTGCTCACTCAATGCTACCCTTCGGTCATATCCTTAGTGGGCTATGCCGCAAATCTCAACCAATCCGGTGTTCGGCTTAGGGGTTAGCATCTCCAATAAAACAAGGCCACCAATACTTCCAACATTAGACGTTAGCATCCCAATAAGACCTACATCTCAGCAAAAACTGTTAAGCTCATAAACTGATCCGAGCCACTTTGGCGGCTGCCGCAGCACGGTCAGTGCTTCAGCGATTTCAGACGTTTCTTGCGAGGCTCCTGGGAGGCCCTCTACCCTGTTGAGGCGTTCAAATAATTTTCAACCTCGCACGTATCATTCGGGCTCTGGCAAAAGAGCTTCCGTATAAGCTGCAATTTGGAGGTCATTATGCATCATGAGATGATCATACAGATGGATCGGGACGTCCGATGCCTCTCCTGAATTTTCATTTACGTGCGGGCACTTTTCGGTGCAACGCAAGATGCCCTACCGCCCAATCTATGCACTTTTACGAGCTGAACAACGTCAAATTTTCCGGGAAGACACGACGAGCGTTGACAGTTCAGCTGCAAAGACGCGCCGTGTCGTCTTGATCGGCACTCCTGCTTTGGTTCTTAGTGGATTGGTGGTCGGAATCCCCATGCCATTCATAAAGCTCGAGGTAATCGGTGTGACTTGGCACGAACATGCGTAACCGGAATGGTCTTGTGTGGCCGCACATCGAGTTGAGGTTGATCGCAAACCGTCTGAGAGAGTTGTAGCAGAAGCCAGCATTCTGGGCTGTTTTCAGTGCTCGCAACCTATGGTCGGAGTGAGATCAAACAGCAACAGCAAATTCCCTAAGATTTTGCTATGCGAGCGCACCGTTACTCATAGCTCCCCCCTAGGTATATATGGTAGTGACTATGTAAGTGTAATTATTGGTTTAGGTGTCGTTGTGTTTGTCCTTTTTATTGTCGCTATTGTCTTCGTTTTAGTACCGTCATCGTTGTGATTGAGATTA